CCAATTCCAATGTTCTTCCAACCTTTCTACGTAACAACACCCAGCTCCCTCTTTCGCCACCTTAACCTTTTGTTTCAGAATACCCGCCGTCATTAATATTTGAAGTTGGGTCCCCTTTTCCCCCACAAAGATATTGTTTCTAAGAAGGAACGGGAGCCTCTTCCCAACCGACAAGAGCGTCGGAGCGCCTTTGGGTGGGAGGAGGAGGGTGATTTCAATTAAGATAAACATGCTCACGTAGCCACACTGAAGCTGTCATTTTCAGTCCTTTTGTTTCAGAGCTGTGGGTTGGAATGTCAATGTTGAGGACCCAGTAACAGGAGGAAGAATAAGAAATGACTTGAAACATTAAATAGAAGGAAAACAGACTTCAATTCAAGTGTGGCTTGGAGATTAATTCGTTTTATTCAACTATTAAAAACACTATAACGTTTACAATGCCGTTTTGGCCATATTTAATGTTATTTACCAGTTTTAGGCTGTTGTTAAATGAACGTACACTCCCTTGTGAATACTGAACATAACGGGACACAAACAAGTATTCATAAAAAATAATTGTGGATCTGCGCATGCTGCATCCGCCCAAGGGAACAACATGCTAAATTCTAGGTCTCACATATACTCAATGCATTAGCGGAGAGTGGTGAAATGGATTCAAATGGTGACTATGTGCTAGCATGACTCAGTCCTGACCTATGGGCAGCAGCAGCACACATTCCCTCTATCAAGCTGCGCCTTTCTCCCACGTCCATTTAACAATTAAATACGGACGGCATGTATAATTACAAAATAAAAGCTCGACTGTTTTAGGTCAACCCAAAAGAAGCTAAATGCACTTAAGACATAATAATATGAATTGCTTATGAGAGCTTTCCTGTCCCAAATGGCTTGATAAACCCATTAATGGATTCATAATGATACGTTGCTACTCCGTGTCTGTATGTAGGTAAGTGTGCTCAAAGTTAACTCTTTGCCCCAACAGCTGGAACCATCTCTGGAGAGGAAGTGCCCATCGTGTCCAAAACTAACATCAAGGAATACAGAGACAGTTTCTCCTGTGAGAAGTACACCTTTAGAAGCAACCCCAACATCACCTTTTATGTCTACGTCAGTAACTTCTCATGGCCCATCAAGATCCAGGTAAGGGTGAAGCAGCAAACACAGTGAACTAATCATCATTCTTGATCTATGTTGCTATGCTGCCTTCTAAATTGCTCACTACAGTATGTACATTGTCATTCCATTGATAAACAATTGTTCCTACATGCATACAGAGAGCAGGGGCCGTATTCACAAAGGATTTTAGGGCTAAAAGTAGCTCCTAACTGGCGAATTTAGGAGAAACTCCTAAGCATAATGGGCGTGTCAGTCTTAAATTTAGGACTCCTAATTTTATTCACTAAGAGCAATTCACAAAGTATTTTAGGCCTAAAAGTAGCACCTAAGTCTGGGAGAGCTTAAAAGTCCTCGAGAGGACTCCTAACTCAGTAAGACCTATTCACAAAGAATCTGAAAATGGCTGCGAGACGAAATGTTTTGGAGACAATGGAAGACTGTGAATTGATCAAGAGATATAGGCTAAATCGTGAGGGTATCAAACTTGTTGCCGACTAACAGGAATAACCCGATTAGTCCGGAAATAAAATGTTTGGCAACACTACGATATTTAGCAACAGGGAAAATGCAACTTTGCAATGCCGACGATTTAGGAATATCGCAACCATCAGTCAGCTGTGCCATAAACCAAACCATCAACGCGCTCTCTAGACCACATATCATCCAACAGTTTATCCGGTTTCCTTTGGACAATCAACAACTACACAGGATCAAAGCCAACTTCATGGTAATGCAGGTATGCCCGGTGTGGTCGGTGCTATTGACGGGACGCACATAAAAATAATTGCGNAAAGAATCTGAAAATGACTGAGAGACGAAATGTTTTGGAGACAATGGAAGACTGTGAATTGATCAAGAGATATAGGCTAAATCGTGAGGGTATCAAACTTGTTGTGGAATTAGTGCGGGATGCAATAACATCCCCGACTAACAGGAATAACCCGATTAGTCCGGAAATAAAATGTTTGGCAACACTACGATATTTAGCAACAGGGAAAATGCAACTTTGCAATGCCGACGATTTAGGAATATCGCAACCATCAGTCAGCTGTTCCATAAACCAAACCAACAACGCGCTCTCTAGACCACATATCATCCAACAGTTTATCCGGTTTCCTTTGGACAATCAACAACTACACAGGATCAAAGCCAACTTCATGGTAATGCAGGTATGCCCGGTGTGGTCGGTGCTATTGACGGGACGCACATAAAAATAATTGCGCCATCAAAAGATGAGGACGTGTTCGTCAATAGAAAGAAAGTACATTCCATCAACACGCAGATTGTTTTCATTCATCATGATAGGGGGACTTGAACGGCGGTATGGGCTGTTATTGAAAGTGTTTAAGTGCTGGAAATATGCTCATTGGATAATAGTTTGCAGGGTGCTTTTAATTGCCTCCTCGATTTAATGCAATTTACGTATTTTTATTGTTTGCTCTCTCTCTTTAACGTGCATATACAACGTCATTATCGTGGTCTGCACAAACTTGTCATCATGCGTGTATTCTGCTAACTGCACTGTCCATAACTATTGGATAGGAATACATTTCTAGCCTAGGCTATTTCCTTGTTTTTCGGTGATTTAGTGGGCTCGTTTGTGGGATGTTGCGGATGAGTTTCACCGAGACCGCCTACTCTGAACAACCAATCGCCGTACTGACCGCTTCTAAACTCATGCACGAGAATCGACGTCATCCATAGCAACAGCGCGTCACTCTTAGTTCACTCTTAGTGATTTATCCTTAGTATGAGTAGGTCTCAGCGGCTTTGTGAATACTTTTAAGAAAAAACTCCTACGTAAAATGTTTTAGCGCGAGTTAGGAGCACTCCTAGCGGTAAGATAAAATGCTTTGTGAATACGGCCCCAGGAGCTTATTGTTGTTGCTCAGGGTGATTTCAAGTGCACTTTATTCTAATTACAGATTTAATGAGGGATGGTTAGTGTGCATAGGTGCACAGCTGTCTCCTTTTTGTGCAGGCAAAAGCAAAGCGCCGTTTAACCTTTCCTACCCCTCTTTCTGAATAGAGGAGATTGAGGCTTTGATGTGCCGAAAATACAACAAAGGGAAAATAAATACAATTTGCTTTCAGTTATTTTGGTTTAGCAGGAACACAATCATTCATTTGTTGTCAGAAAATGTTTCAAAAAATAAGGTTTATTCTTGCAGGCTTTTAAATAAATGGTAATGTTCCTACATATCTGCCAGACGCGTAAATACTAAAGTTTCTGGCAACTTGACCATAATCACCTAATAGCTTGTGATTTATGTATGCCAAAAAAAGCCATTTAGTCTGCAAAAATTGCATTGGAGAAATTGTACATTTAAGCGAGACACTTGTACTCAGCAACATGATAGATGCTTTCCTAATATTATCACACAATTCCCTTTTTGCTAATTAGCACGCGTCCAAGTATTGATTTTTAGATTTGTTCTGTGCCTCCCTTCTACAAGGTAGATGATTGGACCACGCCGTGGTGATAATATCTCAGGGGTCGGTCCATCTGTGGAGGTGGCCCAGTAATAGTTTTCTATTAGATTTCCCGGCCAACAGTCACTTATTTATTATGGACTGGCCTGAGCTGTTAAAGCAAATAGCTTTTGTAACAGGATAGGGTCTCTCTTCCTTTGCTTGCCTTTATGATGTCGGGGTGAGAGCGTAGACCTGCACGAGATAAAGCAGAAATTGAGAATGCACTTATGAGCCTCGTGTTTAGGCGCCTAACCCATACAAATAAGCATTTCAATGTTGGTAAAGATAGCAAAGCGAGGTTTTCAGCTTTCTGTGACATCATTATGTGTTCGTATAATTGTTACCCAAGAGGACCACTCGATGTAATAAAAGTCCACTTGTAATGGAAGTACATTTTCAAATGATGCCATTGATCGGCTCACATAGATGAATTGAAATTAGATTAACCCCAAACGTATTGCTTTGACCTCGTAATATGTGAAAAGCAGACCTGCCAGCGCTGAAAGAACTGCCCCACTTACTAAAAACGCCAGAAAAACATGTGTGCTTTTCAGTCATTTTATCCATGTCAGCGAGCATCTCATTTCAGATCACTGATCTTATTATGTAGCTAAAAGTGTTAGAGAAAATTGGTTGGAGACGTTAGACAAGAACACTAGACTCTGTACTGCTATAATCAACTTGAACTTTGTGTAAGACAAATATATTTAGCCCTGTAGCTTGTCAATTACAAGATAGTTGAGTGATAAGCAAAAACAAACATACTTTTCTTCTTCTCCTGGTAATACATATAACAAATTCATTAACCGTCCGTCATTGATCTGAATCACCAAGAATCATTGCTTTTGAATTTCTGCCTCATCAGTATTCATAACATCCACTATGACGCACATAATCAACCTCTAAAAGCTCATTTTGAGCCATATTGCTTAACCCTCCGTGCTACGAACCGGGGGGGGGGACAGTACTGCTGCAGATGACTTTGTGTTGTCTTGATGCTCTCAGGGCTAAAGGCCTTCAAAGCATCTACAGTAGATAATGACGTGTCACTATGATGTGGCCTATCAGATGAGATTGAGCTGCTGGGTATGTGCAATCCTTCTTTTGATGAAGGTAAAATGTTATTTACTGCTGATATAAATACGCTAATATAATATATATATAAGAGAGATTCACTACATGTTGTATATCTTCACTTAATAGAATATTTTTCAATTTAGGGAACAATTAAAGTGTTAATGCTATAATTGTACCTTTCTCACTTACAGTAATTTATTGAACTGGGATGTTTTGGGGTAGTCTTAAATGCAGAAACAAAATACGTAAAATAAAAAACTGCAGCACTTTCCCTCTTTGGCCTCGAGTCATTAAAGCAACACTGCATTACATTACATACCTTTGCATCAAAATGCATTAATAAATATGATCCAAAGCTTTAAGGCAACAAAAAGTTATTTTTTATAACATGTGGATTGTGTTGAAAAAGAAAGCTTTCTGCCTTGTTTGTATCTTTGTCCAACAATCTTCTAAAAAGTAGAAGCTTTTAGTGAAGAATTCTCTCCAGTGACCAGGGTCCATTCTGCTCTTACTGCCGACGTGAACTGTCAACACTAGATCACGTTAACCCCTTCACAATGTCACACGTCCACCGAAAATAAACTCAAGATTGGCTGTGCTAAGTAGTTCCCTTTTTTAGAGTTAAATATTTCTTTATCAAAAGAAACGGTTCAAGTTGACTGCCTACAAGACCCTTCACTAAGTCACAGCGAACCCTGACCTTAGTTACATTATGTATAGATAATTCTTTGATCTCTGACACTACTTTTGTTTGTATTGTTTTTCCTGAAAATAATAAAAACTAAGTTTAAAAAAATAAATAAAATTCTTTATCACACATTCTCAATACATTTTAAATATAAAGTTCAGGTTTACTAACCCTAACCCCATTTGTATTGACTGATTAATCCTGATTAACCTTTTAGTATAGTCATTTATATATCCATTTTTCAAGATGTTTTTATAATTTCTCTTCTCTCTTTCCCTCCTCTAGATTGCCTTCTCGCAACACAACAGCATCATGGACCTTGTCCAGTTCTTTGTTACATTTTTCAGGTGAGTGAGTCCAATATGTAACACACTCATTCATGTCATTTGATTCAGCTCTTCAGCAGTCAAGAAGCATCATCCAGAATTTGACCCGCCACCTCTTCCTGTTCCGCTCCTGCCTCTCGGGGCTTGTTGAGTTACTTGAGCCTGTTCTGTTAACCAAATACATGTAAATGCTTCTTATGTCTTCAAGGCAGCAATTTTCCTTTTTGGAGTGCCAAATGAAGCAGCCAGTGACCAATTAAATAGGTGAATATTGCTCTGCGAGTGCCATCTAAAGAGCAGGCATGGGCGATCAAGATATGAGGAGCTCTTTAATCATTTTTCATCCGTAGAGCTGCGATGGAAATCTTTTCTCATTGAAATGTTGAAAATGAGTCAATTGAGTTCTCTCAAAGGCACTGAAGTCTGAATACATTAAGAGGATGCGAGTATAATTGGAAAATGTATGCTTTAGGTAAGATATCGGCCTTTTTTAGAAGCTTCAATAGATCAGCTTTGACTCCCCCCTTTTTAAAAGAGGTCTCTCTCAAAGCTTTGGTTACCGTATGCAAAACCAGCAGTGTATAAACTATAGTGGTTTGAATATTTAACTCTTTGTTATTGGTGTGACCTTTCATTTTCTCCCCTAACACTGATAGTTCCTGACCGTAGTGCAGTTTCTGTGTATAAATGTGCGTTTACTTTATTTCAAGGTGTGCTCCCGATGGACTAACATATTATCTGTGTAGCTGTCAAGGTGGGAATAGAAGACAGTCTTTGCCCAAGGCACCTGCCCGTCATTGCCCAGCCAACAATAACTTTCCCGAAAAGCTGTCACACGATCAGTTATCTTCTGCCTCCATCCGATCAAATTACAGTTGAACACCGGAATTCAGGGATTTTTGGAGCGAAAGGGGAGAAGGACAGCTTATTTGATCTAAAAACATTTTAGATAGGGTCACAAAAGGGCACAGGGAAACATGTAGTTTGTCTTTTTAAAGTAACAAATTAGCACTTTTCCTGTGCATTACTATTATTCCTTAGAATGTTTTTGTGTATTATCCTTCCTTTAGTATTAGTTTCTATCAGTTTAGTTCTTCTTAATATAATCAAAAGTAACCCCAAGGAATCCATGACACAGCACATAGATTTCCCAGTGTACCAGCGTAAATCGTTTCCCATCAGTATGCATGGCAATTTCTTTTGTTTTTCCCATTATCGTGCAGATTATATTCATTCTCTCAAGTCTTTTCTGCATCCTTGTTGTCCGGTTCTCACTCACCCACGAACTCAAAAGTGAGTGAAAGGCTATGAGGCCGTGACAAGCGCGTCTGTGTGTGTGTGTGTGTGTGTGTGTGGGTGTGTGGGAGGATTTGAGGGGATGAACCTGCGGGAAACATAATCAGCCTGATGACAACATGTCAAATCACCCCACAGGGTTTCTAGACCTCCTTGTATGAGAGATAGGGGTGAAGAAATGATGCCATGACTGCTAACACACGCTTGTCCCTCCTTCTGTTGTTTTTCTCTTCCAAGTTTATTCAACTATCCCCTCAAGCTTTTTCAATACTCGCCGTTTAACAGTATTTTTTTTTTACAAATGTTCCACACTGCTACCTTGTCTAAGTGATTTCATGCACAATATTTACTTGCACAGCACTAAGTTGTTATCTAATGAGAGTCTGATTGTTTTGTGTGTTCTGATTAGATACTGTATAAAGTCTAATAGGACATGGCTTCACACTTGCAGTGGAACCCCAGGGTCTAATCTATACTAATTAACAAGTGTCATTCATGTCACAGTGTGTACAGAATCTCTAGTTGTGTACACAGTTGATTTATTTCTTTGTTTTCCAACCATACACAGTAGACTTATTAAGAAGCATGCACACGTTATCTGTTCATCAACTTTTTTCACTCAAAACTGAACAAAAACTGTAAATAACATTTTAATATTTTTAAAGAAGTTCTGGCTTGTAGATCACTATATCATTTGCTACCCTACAAGAAATAATTATGTGTTCCTATTTGGCATTTCAAGGTTGCTTTTTCTACAGAGGATCATGTTTTAGCAGCCTATAAAGCATCTAGGAAGCAGGTATAGAAAATATTGATTGCTTTTCCCATTTGGTAACTGTAGCCTTGTGGTTACAGAGATGATCATGTATTCAACATTTTCTTTAGTTACACTATATTAAGTAACATATTTGGCTGTGTACTACTAAAAACCTTCCTGAGATCAGTAAAATTAGGAAAATTGCAATGTGCGACTGCTTGTTTGCTTTCATCATGAGTAGTTAAGTTAACACCTGCTGTTACTAACTATCGGACATCAATAAGTACTTGTAGATAACTTAAGTGCATCCTTTGTTTGAAGACTTGTGTCCTTCACTACCTTAAGGCGATAGAACGTGAATGACTGCAGAACTGCTTTATTAACAGCTGAAGCAGAAGGAACAGCAAAGAGGATTTTAGCTGTCTAAAATAGTGATGATGAAAGCCAAACACCTGTCTAGGGATTTTTGTCACTTCTGCCACATGGAAATGTCATTGAAGCCCACACAGCTCCCCCCTTCTCCATTCACTGTTATCTTCAAAGCGTTCTAAGATGGTGCAAGTATTTCTAAAAGAATGAAAGGGTGTACCTCTCAAATAAATTCTACTTTTTTAAAGCTTGGCGGCCCACTCTTTGCTTTATTTGAGAGGCTGAAGTGTTATCACGCTCCTCACAGACGTTATCGTTCAATTGACTTGCAGGTGTGGCCGGCAAAATGAAAGCCTGCGAGTTAAAATATGAAACAAAAGGGCCTGTGATATTAGAGCTAGTCATGTGGTTCTGGTGAAAGGTGCTTATTGGAACAGGCTGCCCTTTCTTTTAGAAATGTGGCATGTCCCTGAAGACGAGGGCTCATTGGTCATATTACATTACGGTATAGGTTTCAAATCCAAATATGATTTTCTTTGTTCCTGGAAAACAGGAAAAGAGTCCTTCTCATCCAGTGGGTACAGAATAGAAAGAAGGATATCATCAAATCCGTGTTAGTAAATGAATATCGATTAAAGAGGTTTTTTTTGCCATGTTTTTTTCCACCAAAGCACATTGATCAGTGTCTTATGTGTTGCTGTGACAACGATCTCTTTCCCTTCAGCCCATAATAATCCTACCGCTCTCATCTGTCACCAGGATAATGAAGTGGAAGCTTTCAATCAGTCATATTTTTATATTCCAGCAGCACTCGGACCTTGTTGAATTTCCCTTGACTAATGATTTTACTCTTGGGTTATTAAGTGAAGTAATCGGCCAAAATATTCAGTTTGCCAAGAAATTGATGTGATACCTTTTCATATCATATCATATTCGTTTTTTTAAAGTAGGAGCCAAACTATGAATTAGGGATGCCAGTGATTATTCTATTATTCGAATATTCGTTACAGTCCCCATAATCGAATATTATTCGCCAGGGCTGCCGAATAATCGATTTTGATCATGGTCAGTTTCTGGCAACCCTACTATGAATATTCAAGTCTACCCTGTTTGAGGCAGTAATAATTACATGTTACATTACATTACATGTCACTTGTTAAGGCCGCTACACACCAACCTGAGACCAAAGAACGCGTACCGAAGGCGTCCCGACTTTTACGTCCGCTACGTCGCCTGTGTCGGCAACGCCGCCCGCCTACGAACACACGTCAAAGACTTCAGTCGACGAACGGCAATAACTGTCCTTACCAGCAGGCAGCGGTAGTGTGTATTCGTCATTCAAAAGAGGCAACAGCCAATCAGAGTGATTTCTTTGACGGCTTTCTTTGTTTCTTTGTTTGTTGAATCGGCCGCGGGAGGTGTGAAAATGTGCCGTAAAGCAACGACGGTGCGGGACACACCAACCTGAGTAGGGCGCCGCGAATGCCCGACTGCCTCCGACTTACATACTCAATGTAGTTGCTAAGTAGTTTTTCACAAAATACTAGATCACCTATTATACAGTAAAGGCTTTAATAAAATCAAAAAACGTGTGCAATGCATATAGATGTAGGACGCAAAGCAGCACAATAAGTACAGGACATATAACCTTGATAGAAATCTGTGTAATTCATTTTCTGAATTAAAAGCTTAAGATGTGTGCATTTTGAAAGTCAAACTTATTTGGCAGACATGAGGAAAGACTCAAATGTGTGCGTTAATGTTTAAATATATCAAGAAAACAGTGTGAAAATACAAATGATTGACATGTACATTCCTAAAAAATGCTTGGAAGAGAATGTAAAACCACAACATTTGTTAAAAAATCCAATATATATTGTAGATAATCTTACAATATTCTAGGTTGCATGTTCATATTCTGTTAGTATCTAATGATGCTTTTAAATACCCAAGGGTTGACCGCTATCTATATGCAATGGAAATATGTGTGTACTTCCTCAGGTACAGATGTTATTAGTTAAAGTCATGCTGATTGATATTGTTTCCTCTCTTTCCTCCAGTTGCTTCCTGTCTCTCCTCCTGGTGGCTGCAGTGGTTTGGAAGATCAAACAGACCTGCTGGGCTTCACGACGGAGAGAAGTAAGTCCTTAAAACACATTCTGTGGACATATGACCATTACAATATTTAAAAAACTTGCAGTTAACATTGTAGAAATACTTTAACAATATGCTAGCTAAGGCAGCATTATTGTTAAAATCTAAACAACAATCGAAAAGGTCAGTATGTGTCAATGGCTAGTGGCCAAGACGTCACATTTTATAAAGTTTTATTTTCTCTAAAAGTAAATATGGTTTAAAGTAGAGATCATTCAGAAATTAATGATTGAAGTAATTCGAGATACTGTGAATAACTCAAGGAAAAGGGGATAGAAAGTAACATTAATATTCAGAGTTTCTTTGAAAGATGGGGTTGAGAAAAGATGGGTATGAAAGATGAGATGACTGGCAATAAAAATAAATAAATAAGAGAGCAAGAAAGAAGAAGTAAGGAAATGGAGGAAGTGCGCAAATATATGTAAATTCAGCCGTGAACTCAAACTGCATGTGGTGGTTCCTGGTTTCTGTAAAAGCTGCCATCATTTCCATCTCTTCAGACCCAATCCTATATTCTCCTAGATGCTGTCAGATACTTGATATCAGCAAGTTTCATTTGGTGCTCATCCAGCCTTATGACCCGCAGTCTGCTAATAAAACTCCCACAATTTATTTCCCCTTTGGGCATGACATTGATTATCAAAAGAACCACATTTTTATACCCTGTAATTGATATATGAAAGTAAACAAGAATGATAGCTACCGCAACTCGGGAATCATGCCTATCCAAAGAATTAAAGTCAATAAAAGTTAATGCAGGCAGATGGGCTCACGTCATTGAAATTCTGCTCACTTTTGCTGTCTGCTCTTGGCATTCCCGTCATCTGTTTGTCACTGCCCTTCAGCTGCCACATGAAGACAGATTAATATTTAAATTAAGATCTCTCATCTCTCAATTTCAGGTGATTGAAAAGTTTTGTCACCAGCCAAACAAAATACTTCTCATTCTCTTTGAAGGACTGACAGTTGTTTGTGGATGAAGCATCAGCTTGTATTTATTAATTAAAGTTACGTTAAACTTTTTTTTAGCAACAGGACATTATTTATTTATTTACCTTCTTTTTTTTTTAAAACATTACTTTCCTCATAGTGATCTTATTTCTGAATTTGACTCCTAAACCTTTTTGTTGGGTTTTTCCTACAGCTTTAGTTGGCTGCTGATTTGTGATTTATCCAGGTTTAATTTGAAAAGGTTTTAAAACTGTAGCTACAATCTGACTAGCCTAATTCTTTATGCAGTTAAATCCTGTTAAAGGTTCAAAATATAGCGGTCATACTGGTTAACCAGTTTCTCAAAAATGTCTGCCACATGGCTTTATGAAGCTGAGAAAAAGAATACCTTAAGGTTCCTGCCGTGGCATTTTCAGCTGCCCTACTTTTGACCAGAAGATGTAAAGATGAGCTGTGTGTTGTTCACCTCTTCCTGAAAGCTGTGACAGTCTTCAGGGCTTCAGTGCCTTTTCAGCTTTGCTTGTAGACTTTAACATCTCATGTGGCTGTCAACATTTCACATGTCTAAAACCAGCAGGACAATTTGAAGTGATGTTATCTAAAGTAGTTAAGGTCTGTCTATCACCCTGCCAGAGTAAAATACTTTTATGTTTGGAATGGGGCATCCACTTATGTAAGTACTCGAGTCTGAAATGTTTTTAGCTATAAGGTCAAACCACTATAGCTGTTTTTATATCTGCAGACCTCAAGCTGCAATCAATGTAAGCTTTTTATATAGGTGTATAGCCTTATGTTTATTACCACCATTATGACTGATACAAAAATTACCCATTTACTAACACAAACACACATTTATCATAGAATTGAATACAAATAAAAACAACAGTTTGTCCTCTGACCAACCTCCAATTTAAATATTGTTCTCATTTGTTCTACTCTGTTATCAGACAGGTGCAGACGTAATAAATCTCTCTTTAAAAAATGTATATGGAACAGTACATTTTTGTTTTGTTTATGTTTATTTGCTTTCTTAAAGGGAAACTATACATTAAAGTATTAGTCTCTAATTCAAAGTGCGCACAATTTCATGCCGCGGTTAACAAAACCAAAAGTGCATTTGTTCTTGTCAAATTTAAAGTATTATATGAATGTATATTTTTAGTTAAGCATATAAAGATGTTTCTATATTTTCCGCCATTTAGACATTTTAAATATTAACAATTATAAACTGTGCCGTTATTTTTAGCTTCCTCATATGGTACAATACAATCAGCATTTGTCTTAATTAAATGCCTTTCTTCTTTATATGGCCAATTACAAAAATCACAGTTCATTAGATTTGTATTGACCAGTTTTTGTAAATGAAGAACAAGGGATTATGAAAGAAAAAATCTCTGGTTGTGCTCTACGATTTAAATTGTTCCTTAACTGTCCATCCTACAATGTTATAGGAGTCCAATGCTAAATCAAAAGAGTGCCCTTTGACGTTAATCACATACAAAAAAAAAGTGATCCAGTTTTTGATGGCATTACTAATAACAAATCATTTCCCAAATGGCTTGTAATAATAGCCGTCAGCCTTGTTGCATACAGCATCCCATCATAAAGTGAAGTTAGAATCAGAGTTTCAATGGAATTTGTGATGACTCACTTGTGTTGAGAGACAGGAGCGAGTCTTGTATGGTATCAGATGATTGGCTGAGTGTTATGCCTGTTTCATTTAAAAGGGCTTGTGATCAGCCCATGCATTTACGAGGCTTGTCCAAATATGGACAGGGAGGATTTGGGCTAGAGGCCATCTAAAGCTCACAAGCCCCCATTTAACATAAGTACATGGAATAAACTAGTGGTAATGAGGCCTCTAGAGATAGCTGGGACAATAATGAGTCACTGATCCAGCCCAGTGACATATGGAAGTCTGATAGTGATTGATCTTTTTGGATTGGCTTCCTGGTGTGGAATCTATTGAAGTCCTACTGTTTCCTGCTTGACATAAACAGCTATGTGTTAAAATGAAACCGTTAAAAAAAAAAAAAATGTAATTCAAGACATTTGACATGAATATTTGTTCTAAACCAAGCTGCCATTGTCTGTTTGTAATGTGGAAATTAGCTGAAGATAAGAAAAACAGCCTCTTAAGAAACATTAGGTGGTAAATGTGTAATTCCTGGAGTGCTCTTATCCACTCAAAGCAGATCTTCCAGCACACTAATGCACTAATTGGATAAGCACTTTCTCTTTTTTGTCAGGAGTTGAAAGGACTTGGTTGCAAAGGGGCAACGGTTGTATTTGAATTATTTGAGTTGAGGATAAGTGACGAGACTGGGGTCCTGAGTGGGGGGGGGACAAAGGGATGAAAAGACGGCAGCTGTAAATGCCACTGAGGAGGACGAGGGCTGACCTCTTTGAAGCTACCTGTGGGGGGAACGGGGGGGGGGAGGGGGCTTTGACATTTCACAAGACTACAACACGGAAGATGTCTTACACACAAACATGTGGATTTATCTAATGCTCTCTTTATCTCTCTCACACACTCTTACCAACACGTGCATAAACGCTTGCAACACCGTGTGAGCGGCACTCTGAAAGCCCTCCAAACTATTATTCAGCAGCCGTTACCATAAAAAGGTCATTTTTTTAAGCATTCCATAAATCGACACTTAAATAATAAGGATATTTATTTAAAACACATATATGTTTTCTGCTTCACTGATGTTGTTAATTTCTTATTGTCTTATAATAATAATAATACATTTTATTTCTTTAGCGCTTTTCTTGAACCTTATGAATCTCATGTACATTATTTAACAACGATAGTGGTGTTGCTATAGTGACGACATTATTGGTTTGATACAATACCTTTTTCTCTTTCACCTCCAACAGATCACATTTTTATTTACCTATTTTATCAACTACTACCTGAATTGTCACCAAGAAATTCACGGTGACAATTATTTTATAATTTGTCATAACAATTGTGAGGCACACGGTAGAAATACAGAACTTGAACACTGATATTATTAAAGAGAATGTCAGCTTGCACATATTTGATGGCAGATAAAGTTGCATTGCGGTCCAGGTTTATAATTTTAAGGGGATTAGTGTTATTTTCCTTTTGATGCCCTCCCAGCTGGCTTTATTTACTGGCTTTTTACATCCAGATTTGTAGTTGTTCGGAACGAAGTGTTGTTTCTGTAAAAGGAAAGAACATACATACGTTCTCAGTGTAATACTAATGACTGTAAACCACCCATTTCGATCAACACAACTCTTATTATCTATGTGCTTGCATTGACAAGTCTGAAAGCAACACATTGTCCACATAATCCTCCCATGCCCCTTGAACAGCTCAATCAGCGGCCATCGATTGCTATAATCAGATTACCCTGCTCTTAAGCCCCTGGTCACCTTGATTGTCCCGTGTTCGGCTTTAAAGTTTGCACTTTAATAATTTCCTCTAAAGAAACAGATGATTGAGCGTTCCTGTGATTAGGATATTGGATAGGAACTCAGGATATTGTTTACCCTTGGACTGTACCACTAATGAGCAAAAAGAAATTACAGCAAGGGAACATTTAATGAATATGTTAGAGTTGGACCTTATTACTTATCTTTTTACCACGACTTTAAGTTTTTCTATTTCATTGAGTTCTTGCTTCTTAAGCCTACACAAAACCACCAAACATATCAGTATGGCATACAGTGATGGAATATCTTCATTGAGTTTAGTCCTTTAATCCCATTGTTTGTACAGATTGTGAAAGCATTTGTTTTATTTTATTTTCCGTTTTTTTGTTTCCTTCAGTTTCTTCTGCAGGGCAGCGCCTTGTGGGCACAGCCAGTGATCTTTGAAAAGGACAAAGTGACCTGCTTAGGTGTAGGAAATGCTCAGAGGCGGGATGACACATACCCTTTTATAGGATCCAATGAAGGGAGCAAAATGCTGTATTCAAAAGACAGATAATTCATGCACTCATCTGCCAAGTTAATCAAGAGGCATAGCAGTGCACCCTTATCGCAAAAGTGAATGGCTCCAGCTTGTGTTCTTCACCAAATCAGAACGAGTTTTTGCTTTCGAAGGGTCCACTCCTGCCTTTTGTCTTTTACTTACAGTAGTGTTCATTTGTGGAGTCTATCTGGTAATACAGTGGCCTTTTGATGATTGTATTCCAAGCACATTCTTTGATGCCTGTGCAAAGCAAAAGCTTCTGTTCTCCTTTTTTGCTATAAATGCATTCTGCAACATGATAAATAACATTACTGCTATCTGACATTTAGGATGAATGTTGTTGGATTTGAGGCTCTTGTGTTGGAAACCGTAATAAGCCGCGAGCTGTTTTCTTGTTTTGCAACAACCCCGCCGGGCCCTCCATCTTGCTTTTATCTTTTGGAAAAGGGCAAAAATTTCTCATTTTGACCTGCAGTGGCCCAGCAGCTTAAATGTAGCGGTTTGGTGTTGCTGGTTTTGATGTTTAATAGTAGAGATGTCCAACAATCTAACCCGAGCCCTTTGATTTAAAGTTTAGAAATCAACGCTTCAAAAAGAAAAATCAATCGCGTGATCAATCTCAATTTCATGTGGCTGTTGTTCTCTCTGTCCCACCTTAACCTCCCCCAGGGAATGTTTTCAGAGTGATTCAACAATTCTCTCACTCACTCCCCCTTCAGTGAGCCTTGACAACTAGCCAGTGTTGATCATTCAAAATGCGTCATTATGGGCTGCATCGATACAAAAAATGCCTTATTTATGATTCACAAAACATAAATAAAACCCACTGACCATATTTCTCAGTTTTTGCATTTTTACATTTTGACTTCTTTTATTTTATAAAAAAAGGTGGAAGCCTACGCATTTTCAAATAAATAATAAACACATTACACTTTTAACACGCATTTAGAAGACATCATTGTGTCAGGAAGTGATTTTCACTGTTGAATATCAAGAAGAAAATGCTTTTCATTACATTGGTTTCTGCCATTTCCTGTGTTTCAGACAGGTTAGAGTGCATTTACTCAAAATGTTTCTTAAAGATCAGCTATATTTGAAAACATGCTGTTTTGATTTTTTGCTTGTAAGCCTGTGCAAGGTCTTTTTTTAGTCGACCTCTATAAAAAGCCACAGATGATTGAAGTGCTGGACGTAGAACAGCATGAGCCAGTACTAATAATGAGGCAATGTTTGCTTTCAAATATCTAATCAAGGTTTTTGACATAATTGAATAACACTATTTCCATGTTTTCCTGTGTACACCCCTAACAGAAATATAACGACTTGATAAAACAAATACAGTGCTCTGGCTCTCTCCGTTTGTCACATAGATGGGGACATTGATTCCTCATGAGTGTCATCTTAAGATTTAGTTTTTCTCCACTTGTTCGCTTGTACAATGCTATCAACCTCTCCAGACCTCATCTGAAATTTGCCAATTAATAGCCAGACTAATGAATACTTAATTAAATTCAGAGTGAGTGAGTGTGGGGGGTCTGGACAGAAGAATACCAGGGTTCATTACTACACCAAGGACAAATTCCTATTCAGGTTTCAAGACCACCAGAAAACTCAGAGCCATAACACTATTGACCCAGTTTTATTGTACGGGTAATGTGAGATAATTGGAAAGTGCAAAACAATCAAGTGTACCTGGAAAATCATTAAAGAGGTGGACAATGAAATCAATGCTTGGATTTACATAAATGTAAGACCACAGTACATAAATGTATGCTACTCACTTTAGCTGATGACCATTTATTTTGCCGCTGAAATCAAATATGTTGCCTTCAGATTTTATTTGCTGAAGCTAACTTTATAAGCTATCAGTATCAATGTCTCTGCCTGACTTTCTAATAAAACCATCTGACACATTTTGAACCAAAATACATATTAAAAGTGTCTTAAATGCACACTTAGTATAGACAATTGAAATAAAATCGTGCTAAAAGATTGCTAAAGCTAACCGTTCCCAAGCAAAAATGCAGGCTCCAACAAAATTCCATGTAGACAGGGAAACTTTGTAAATCAAATTTTTTGTTTGTTGTATTAGTCAATTTATTGAACATGTCAGAAACAACAATAATTATAACAAAGAGAAGCAAAACAAACAACAACAAAAAAAACGTTCAAGGTACAAAAACACAAATTTCTCAAATAATCTCTGTCATGTTCAACAGGAGCAGGAAGGAGCTTAAAAACGTTTCTTGTCCTACCGCCTCTAGCGTACATTTTTCTTGAAAATAAAAGATTAGGTCATCGTCATCAGCATCCGTGATGTTAGTTGAAAGTAATGCTGAGATACAACTAGCTTAATACCTAACAAGCTTACGTTTGGTAGTAAGCTAGTTAGCCAGGCATGCTAATATATGCAGCCATGTTGTTTTTATTTCTTCAGTAAAGAACGGGCACATCTTGATGCCCATCATCACAACCGCTCTGTGTGCGTTGTAATCTGAAGTACAATTAGTTCCTAATGCTCAACACTTAAGCTCATCACAAATCCAATACCCATCAGTGATGTCCTTGGCGCTAAAATGGTGGCTTGTTAAGATATCGATCAGACACCGCGTTGCTGATGAAATGGTGCTAGTTGTTTTACAATATTGATTAGTGGGGAACAAGAGAGTGTAGTTTCTTTACAGTTTAGGTAACAGGAATGGTGTCATTTCTAAGCGGAGAGTTTGTTTTTTGAATATTGAAAAAAAGGGTCTATAATATTATAATACAAAATGAAAGACAACAAAATCCTCAAATTATTCTGGGCTTGGTGGGTTTAGAGGCACAATTAAATAATATTGTACTTATTTCTATTAATATGGATATTGCATAAATATAGTGTATTTATGGCACTAGGGAAATTGGAATTTACCAACTGTCAGAAGTTGTTGTGTTTTTATGCATGGTATTGATTTAAGTGTCTTCCTGTAAGTCCTCTTTATGAAAAAGGCTGAAATAAAACATATGTTTTTCAGTTTTTTCAACATCATACAAACCCCCAATGTGCTTCCTATTGATATATGATGCTATATTTCATGTAATCAATGTACAAACTTATATTTATTAATATTTGGTTATTTAATTTAACCATATTTCGAACTCCTTCTGTGTTTGTTATTACAGCAGCTGATGAGAGAGCGTCAGCAGATGGCCAGTCGTCCGTTTGCCTCAGTCGCGCTCTCACTGGATTCCAGGGGAGAAGAAACGGAACTGTTGCGTCCTGTGGTTGAAGTGAGTCTCACACACACACACAGACAGACAGACAGACAGACAGACAGACAGACAGACAGACAGACAGACAGACAGACAGACAGACAGACAGACAGACAGACTTAATGTTAACAACAACTGCATACCATATTACAGGCTGGCACTTTTTTTTTTGTATCGTCCTCATCTCACCATCACAGATTTCACCCAAAGTGTTCTTGAGTCCTTCAAAGCACCAAAGACGCCCATTGGAGAATCTCAATCCAGAATTTGTAAGTGCTTCCACTGACATCGCTACAATAGTTTTGTTGTGCCACATAATTGGACGTTATTGTGATCTACTCAACCAACTCATGCCCTCCAATCGCAATAAGTCTGCCTTTTATCCACTTCTCACATCAATGAGAAATCGGCCATCGATGGTCCTTTATTCCCATGTCTCTCTCTCTATGAATTGTCCTCTGCAATCAGGGCGACAGACTTGCTGACATTTTTCAATCGATGTTATAAATGTTCTTTATGCGAAATGATGTCATCATGAAGAAAAAAGGTTATGGTTGTATTAGGAAAAAGGTGGTCATTACTTTGAAAAGCTTCACTGAATTGAAAAAAGATTGCTCTGATATTAAAAGGATGACGTCAGGATGCTTTATTGAACATGTCATGATTGTTCTTTTACCTGTAGTCTGCATGTCTTCATTTAACATCATTTCTCCTCCAGGGTTATTTGCTGGGAACGTGACGCATGCTATTTCCTTCAAATTGTGTTTCATTAGGCTCACATGCTCATCCCGAAATGTTCTATCCAGTCCCTACCTCACCTATTTATTCCCGCCATGTGAATACCTCCCATAAAAATAGAACGCAGTTCAGAAATCTGGCGCTTAGCACAGTCCAGGGCTCGGTGACACATGGGATAAAAGCATAGCTTGAAGCAATATGGGGAGCTACATCCTCAAATTGACATCTGAGGTCCAGCAGTGTTTCCTCAGCCAGAACCACCTCTGTGTCACCTGCCGCTGAGAGGAATAAAATCACTGTGGCAACCAGGAAAGAGGCCCCTGCATTAGCTATTAATGTATAATGCTGAGTGGTACTCACCGTGCATTACTGTGTTGTGAAGGGCAAGAGGAGAAAAACAATGCTTCTTAGCTCTCTGAGTGCACTTTTTTGTTGTGCTAGAGCAGCTATGTACCTTCTGAATCCGAACAGTTTAAGAGATTATTGCTTTGCCTTGATTTAACTAAAAGGTTAATTATACACTTGTCCTCAGAATGTATGCTTTAATCTGTTCAATTCAAGCATTTATACCAGGAGTGTTGCTCCCTTTTCTGCACCTTCTGCAAAAGTGTGAGAGTTTGCATCCACTGGAGAGCATTGCTGTGTAAACCATACCCAAAGCTGTTCTGGAAACGATAAGTGGGGAAAAGTGTCTTCACTCTTCTGTTTCTTGACCCTTTCAAGATGCAGAGTGAACCTAGGAATGCTTGACTTTCAGTTTCCCTTAGATGTCCCTACAGCTTTGTAGAAGTTAGTATCACAGTTTTGCCAGAGAAAACACCTGAGAAACCTGATTGACATGCCTGTGTCCTGAATGTATTTCAGCTTTATCCTGAATGCTAATTAGTAAAATAGTACACGGTATATTCGGGATACAGGCACATTTCCAAATGTTACCCATTATTTAAAATATAAAGGCATTATGAAAACAATCTTTTAACTGCTGTCTAAATGGTAAATCCAGCAAACAAAGTTTGTGTCAAATGACATCCAATGAGTTGAGAAGCATTACTTTATGCGTGCTGTCCAGATGTAAAGTACACACACATAACATTATTCATTTTCTGAAAGGTCATACAAAACACACCTTGCAGGTAAACAAAAGGCAACACTTATTTAACTGTTGAAAATATGTGTTTTCAGACATGTAGTTGCCATAGAACTTTTTTATATTGAAATCTCTGATTGCAAAAAATATGTATTGCATATACTTAATTGCATTAAGTATCTATAGAGTAGGGCTGCTTGATTATGGCAAAAATCATAATCACGATTATTTTGGTCAATAATTGATATCACGATTATTAAAAACGATTATCCATTTACTTTGAAAACATCAATTTATTGAAAAATATTTTTTAACAGTATGTTTTTAACAGTTGATTACCCTGAACTTTCAGTATACTGAAAATAACTGAAAACACAATAAAAAAAAAAAAAAAAATAATAATAATAGTTTTATTTCGATTACGTTGTTTTCGTAATCATTGCAAGCCAAAATCGGAATCGAGATTAAAATACGATTAATTGCACAGCCCTAATAGAGCTCTGGAAAGATTTAAGAAACCACTTCAAAATGATCAGTTTCTCTGGTTTTACTATTTAAAGTTATGTGTTTGAGTAAAATGAACATTTATTTTTATTATTCTATAAACTACTGTCAACATTTCTCTGTGTTGGAATTGAAGAGACACTGGAATGGAATGGCTGCCAAACACATTGAGATTTGAGAACATTTTCTCTTTATTTATTCTTGAGCTTTGTGATATATTTTAATTAATGCTGTCAAAATCATCGCGTTAACGGCGGTAATTAATTTTTTGAATTAATTGCGTTAAAATATTTAACGCATTTAACGCATGTGTAGAATGGCCCGCCCCATACATCCCACCAGTGGCAGCGCTGGGGTAGGCTACAGCCATACCAATAAATGGCTTAGCCCCACCATGAAAAATGATGTTAAAGTATTGCACAGACAGCAGTTAGTAAGATTGATTTCAGTAGTCACTTGTCTGGAAATACCGAAGACTAGAAACGGTTTTGAAAACTGAAGACACGTAGTAATTGTCTTCTCAATAGAACATCTTTGAAAATGTCTTCTGGCCAATCAGAATCAAGATAACGGCGTGGTGTTGTTGCAGGAAGTCCCGACGGAGAATACTTTTGCTGTAGTACATCTCTATATACATCGGTACAACTATAAGACCCCACGGTTTGATGATTGATAGGTGTGTGGGCTGTCTTTCATTTTGACACACAGAACAATGTTATCATAAACATACATACATACTGTATGTTAAATGGATATATCTGCCTTCTTTCATTTATCTTTCCATTCCCACAACAATATACATAAAGAAATGGCATATTTTGGACATAGTTGGAATGGTGATTAATCATGATTAATTAATTTTTAAGCTGTGATTGATCTGATTAAAATTTTTAATCGTTTGACAGCCCAAATTTGAATATATAGGAGCAAAAGGTCATAACTCAACCATCTTTTTAAATATACCTGTGTGCTTTGGACTCATCTCAAAAGAATTACTTGTTTTCAGTGTGCGTTGGCCCACATAGAGCTCCATCACATGCCCTGGCTCCAGCTGAAGGTGAACCATATGAAATGAGCTTAATTCTCTTTATAAAGGTTGATTGGTCAGCATCTGGCAGCACTTAGCTATCGGAAGCATTTGTTGATGTCAAAGAGGACACTGATGTCACGCTAGCACTAATGGTTCTGTATTTGATCCTTCAGATCTGTTGGTACATCCAACTCAGAGCGTTCACTGAGTAAGTGAAGGCAATGCTTTTGTTTTTAACTAAACTATATGATAAAAGAAGTCTCTACCTCAATGTGTTTTCGAGTCTAAAACACGGTTGATTTGGGTACAGGTTAAATTGCTAATGTAAGAATATATAAACGTACATTAATTTGACTTTATGGACATAGTTCGGAGCATATTTTAGAATATCATAACCCAACTAATAGATGATCCAGCTAACACAGGAAACACAGAAGGACTTCCATACCAAAATGATCCCTCACATCCATTTGAACTCATTTCTAGGGTCTTCTTCTCCGTTTGCACTGATCTCACTGCATTAGTTATTACCAGCTTTTTCTAACTGAGACCCTCCAGCTGGTCCGAGAGCAAATTACCACAGCCTTTGTGCCAATTCTTTCCATTTTTGGTCCATTTGAAACCCCAGGAGATGGACATTGCTTTTAGTGAGCAAGATGTCAACAGCTGTTGGACAGAGAGCCAATCCGGGCCCACAGGTTGCGGTGTCACAGATGTCTCCATCACTATGGCCGGCATTCAACATATGGAAGCGCTAACAGAAAGCTAGTGTGATGGATGACACCTGTCAGCGGGATGCAGACAGTGTGTGTGTGTGTGTGTGTGTGTGTGTGTGTGTGTGTGTGTGTGTGTGTGTGTGTGTGTGTGTGTGTGTGTGTGTGTGTGTGTGTGTGTGTGTGTGTGTGTGATTATGAATGAGCTTGATTAATGCATGGTCGAATTGCAGGCTGTGTCATTTGAAAGATATGAAAATGGAGACAGCCATTTAAGAAAAAAAAGCCACCTCTGTAATTGAAATGATTTATTGATGGGATTTTTTACTATGAATTTTGGATGATTATCCTAGATTAATATAATCACTTTGCAGATATAGCAAGAAGAAATAAGTTGCTATAATGGCTTCCTAGGTTACAAGAGCATGGTGCAAGGTAGAGCAGTAACTACAGTAATAGCTTTGTAACATGGCAACAAAGAGAGTAAACAACCATGTGTCAAAGAGAAAATATCTGATTGAATATAATCTAAACGTAAACCGGTTTCATATTGTATGTTGTAAGGCAATCCATTTAATAGTCAGGCCGAATTGGCGTTAGATAAAAAAGTCTGAGACCAGAGTTTGAAGTACTATTCTCTGGGGATCATGACAATGTGTAAGAAATGTCATCAACACATTGCTATCCCTGGAGCAAAGGCTGAAATGGCGTTTGCCACGTAATAAATTAAATATATCCATTTAATACCCAATGCAGGGGTAGACATTAAGGGTACAATTCCACTGGCCCAAGAGCATTCGTCCAAAATATCGACTAATAATGAAGAAAATTAACATATTTGTTGCAATAATAATTTGTGCAGAAACTACATTACTACTTGTACTACAACATTTGATTCATCAGTTCTTCCTAATTTTCCTCAATTGTTCATATTTGGTTTATTAAAATAATTATATTGTGGTCATTGTTAAAAAATGTCTGCTATTATGAGTATTATTAGGCCTATTTGTATAGTGCACTTTCTGCCTTCCTGTCATTAGGAGTTAGACATGTAATAGCCTAGATTAGAACCTTCATTATCCTAACCTGCTGGGACATTTCCCTATAGCCAATACCTTTATATGTTCTACTCTTCACTTACTTGTCAGAATCGGCATTGATGTACAGAGCCGACAAAAGACCTTGGCATCATATTGA